ATAGGGAGGCGGGAGGAGAGGAGAGACAAAATGGCTGAGGCCTAACAAGATGGCTGTCACGTACAGCGTCCATGTCACTATTGCGCACAATCATCACAGCAGCCACCAAGAATTAGCACACAGGCCCGTAGAGCCCCTATTGTCCTTCCGGACATGCTTGCAAATCCTGATTGGCAGCCCACAGATTCTGCAGCACCCGTACTTCCCCCATTCACTGCCCAACCCAGAATTCAGGTGGAAACAGCAAATTTCGCTCCCCTTGATTTTATGGAGCGTTTTTTTCGCTGAAGATTTGTACAATTTGATTGTGGACAAAAACAATTTATATGCTCAACAATTTATCGCCGCAAACCCAAATTCAAACCTTGCTAGACCATTTGCATGGAAACCCATTACGGTTTTGAATGTAAACCTTTTTTGGGCCTAACCCATGGGCATTACAAAAAAGAATGAGTTGCGGTCGTATTGGTCCACAGACCCAATTCATCATATGCCCGTGTTCTCTGCTGCCAGATGATAATGCGCTTCACGCATTTAAGTGATAACACAGTCTGTCATCCTCGGGGTGACCCTGAGCATGACAGGCTCTACAAAATTCGGCCCCTCATAAACCACCTCACTGAGAAATTTGCAGGTGTGCATACGCCCCCGCAAAACATCTGCGTGGATGAGTCCCTCATTCACTTTACTGGCCGCCTTGCAATCAAACAATACATCCCCAGCAAGCGTGCCAGATATGGAGTCAAAATTATATAACCTCTGTGAGAGGGACACAGGCTATACGTACAAATTTAGGGTCTATGAGGGAAGAGACAGCGAAGTAGAGCCCCCCCCAACTGCCCAGACTACATGGGGAGATGTGGCAAGATAGTTTGGGACTTGGTGTCGTGTTTGTTCTGTAAGGGGTACCACTTATACGTGGACAATTTGTATACAAGCGAGCCACTATTTAGACATTTGTACAATCTTGGAATTGGTTCATGTGGCACCGTGCAACCTAATTGCCGGGGCTAACCCCAACAGCTTGTAAATACTAGACTTAGAAAGGGGGAGAAAGCCTGCTTGAGGAATGATGAATTGCTCGCAGTGAAGTGGAAGGACAAAAGGGATGTTTTCGTCCTCTCTTCCATTCACGTAGACACAACAGTCCAAATTAACACGGTATCTGGCATTGTTGAAAAACCCCTCTGTGTCCACGACTATAACCTTAACATGGGGGGGTGAACTTCAACAGCCAAATGATGAATCCATACCTAGTTTCCTGGAAAGCTCAACACTGGTACAAAAAGGTGTCTATTTCAATTGGCTATATATAACGCTTTTGTAATTTACAAATTTGGACATGGGATTCCTCACTCATTATCCAACAGTTTTACGACCCCCTCTTTGAGTGTTGGTCCCCCCCAGTCTTTGCTTTTGCTGTGTCTTATCTCTAGTCTAATCCTAGTCTTGTAACCATTGCTGTGTACATTTGTTTGTGTGTGTTTCTTTCTGGTTATTTTTTTTTCTCCTCCCCCTTTCAACATCTCTTCTAACATTCTGCTAAAACTTTGTGAAATAGTACTGCCTGGACCTTGAAGAAGGGGACATACCCCAAAAGCTTGTCCTCAAAATTGTATGTTAGTGCAAATAAAAAAAGTATCATGTCAGTACTAATTTACAAAGCAACTGGACAAAGTGGATCCTTCCTAAAATTCCAGGAAGAGCTCATCACGGCCCTTTTGTACCAAGAAGGTGATGTGGCCCAATCTTCAAATCCAGATGCAGTTAGCCGGCTGCATGAGAGGCATTTTTCGATTGTGCTCTCTGGTACCCCAACCCAAAAGGTCACCCCAAAGAAGATGTGTCTGTAGCAGACACGGAATAAGACACAACACCTGCTTTTTTTTTGTCCCTCCTGTCCTGGCCAACCTGGTCTCTGCCTCAAGGACTGCTTCCGTCGCCACCATACACAAGTATTAGTATAGGGTACAGCACAGCACACATTTAGAGGTTAGGTAGTTAGGAAACTGGCTATCACATTCTGAGAGACCCTACAATCTGTTTTAAAAAGTTAAAATTTCCACAAAAAAAAAAAAGAAATGTAAAAAAAAAATGATTTATGATTTTACTGTTTTATTGTTAACCATTGCTGTTTTCTTTGCAGGAATGTCATTCAGCTGCATCACCGACTTGTTTATTCTGACAGCAACAGGGTCTTGCTCTCAGAATATACATAAGTAGGTGTGTGCAGTGCTGTTGGATGATATTTTTCATCCGCAGTTAAAAAAAAAAAAAAAAAAAAAAAAAAAAAAAGAGCATATATGCCGAAGCATGGGGGCCTGGGGTGGCCAGTGGGTGGATGGCCCCTATGCTTCGGTATATATATTTTATAATATTTTTTGGCACATTTCATGTGTGCCCACTCATTAGAAGTGGGTGGATGCAGGGCGGTATATTCTAATGGTGGGCATACCACGCACTTCCCTTTTTTTCAATTCAGTTCAGTCTGCATTAAAAAAAAAAAAAAAAAAAAGAAAGAAAAAAAGAACAACATAGCATATACACCCAACAAGAACCAGTGACTTACTGGTATATCACTAGACTTTGAGTGGTTATATCAGGATGATACCTGCAGCTGGCAGGCATCATCCTAGTATTGTTTTTTTTTCAGCCGGCGATCGGCCTTCATGTAAAAGCAATCCTAGTGGCTAATAAGCTGCAGGATTGCTTTTACAAGCAATGGAGAATGCACCCCCTCCCCCCGCTGCCTTCCACGGCCTTCTTGGGCAGTCCCGTGACATCAGGAGAACCTGAGAATGCAGCCGTTGTTTCTGCCAGATGACCATAGAGCTGATTGTAGACCGAAAGCCAGGAGCATGCATGTACAGCATTGTATGACCGTACAATTGTCAGTTAAACTAGCGCAGCGCTGTATAGCAAACAAAATGGCATAAAATTGCAGTATCTATACCATCGTTTGTAGATGCTATAACTTTCACACAAAGCAATCAATATACACTTACTGGGATTTTTTTTTTTTACCAAAAACGTAGCAGAAAACATTTTGGCCTAAACTTATTACTTACTTTGAGTTTACTATATATTTTTTTATAGCCGAAAATTTAAAAAAAAATCTTTTTTTTTTTAAATTTTCGGTCTTTTTTTGTTTATAGCGCAAAAAATAAAAAGCTCACAAATAATCAAATACCACCGAAAGAAAGCTCTATTTGTATGAAAAAAGGACATAAATGTTGTTTGGGAAAAGCATTGCATGACCACGCAATTACCAGTTGAAATTTTGCAGCGCTGAATAGCAAAAACAGGCCTGGACAGGAAGGGGGTAAATCCTCAGGAGGGCAAGTGGTTAAGTTGCCTGAAGATCTAGATCTGCTTATTGATAACTTGCCTTTAGAACCTCAGCACACTCAACCAACATCAGTTTTAAAGCACACAAACACTCAAGTTATTTCAGGCTGCAAAGATATGCCTTTTAAAAACAGTTACCTTCTCTGTACACAACGGTGTCTCCTTTATGGCCTTCTGCCTCCCCCCATACATGCAAAATGTTAAAAATACAAAAATTTTAATTTAATTTTAGTGTTGCACTAAATAGAGCAAGCAACAGAATAAAATGTATACGTTTCCCTGCAGTTATGGTACTTATTCAAAATATTGCTGATCAAGTTTGAAAAATAAATAAAATTTTTAAAAAAATGTACCCTTCCCTTAAAGGATAAGTTCACCTTTCGTAACATGTCACACCCCTATTCAGGGGGTAACATGTTATGAATGGACCAGCCCCCACACCCCTGATCACCACTGTGAAAGCTAGTGGGGGACCTCCCCCCCCCCTGCTGTCACAATTTAAAAAAAAAAAAAAGTATTCTGTATATGAGAAAACAACAAGTTCCAACAGCCTTTGCAGCTATCAGCTTGTAGTCTTCAATTAACCTCCTCGGCGGTATGATTCTTTCCAATTTTTTTTGTGCTGAAAGCGGTACCATTTTTTTGCATGGAAATATGTAGTTTTTTATTGTAGGCTGTGATTTTTAGGAATAACTCACTGAAATCTGTACGAACAAGAGTCTAGTAAACATTCCGGATATGATAAAACTTGAAACACGAAATCATAAATTATAATTTAATAAATAATCATAAAAAATAATGTAATAATTTATTTAATTCAATAATATAATCAAACCAAAAACACTGAAATTTGAAATACAGAGGCAAATTCACACATCGCTGAGCAAAGTTGCAAAATAGTTTTCAGTGTCTGATGACGAATTTCCCCACGAATCATTATCACTCAATTCTGCAAGTGGTTCTGATTTACTGTCACTGTTCTAAAACCGCTTTTGACATAAAGGGATGCTTTTTGGACGCCATGGACATTTCTAAGTTTCCAGGCAAAAAGAACACTCAAAATGCAGGCAGGGCACAGGACAAAGCAGTAGGGACAAAATGTATGTGAAATGCATTGAAACAGCAATGACAGCAAAAATGAAATTTAAAAAAAATGTCAAATTTCCCGCCGGTTCCGGTGCCCCTACATCCCAGGGACCGGAACACGGAAGCCGGATGCCGGTATCGGCCGGAGGAGATGGCCGGGGACGCTGCAGGGGACACATCGCTAGAGCGAAGGACAAGGTAAGTGCTGCAGGGACCCCCAGAGCAACGCCGCATGGTAAGCCCGAGTGTAGCTCAGGGTTACCGCTCTTGGTATTGAAATTTTACCCCGAGCTACACTCGGGAAAACCGCTAAGGAGGTTAACCACCTGCCTACCGGTCACTTATACCCCCTTCCTACCCAGGCCAGTTTTCAGCTTTCACCGCTGTCGCACTTTGAATTACAATTGCGAGGTCATGCAATACTGTACCCATGATGAATTTTTATCATTTGAGACAGATAGAGCTTTCTTTTGGTGGTATTTAAATCACCTCTGGGTTTTTTATTTTTTGCTAAACAAACCAAAAAAAAACTGAATATTTTGAAAAAAAAATGTTTTTTCTTAAGTTTTTTTTTATAAAATGTTGTAAATAAGTGATTTTTCTCCTTCACTGATGTGTATTAATGAGGCTGTAGTGATGGGCACTGATAGGTGGCACTGAGGAGGCACTAGTAGGTGGCACTGATGGGCATTGACAGGCATCACTGATGGGCACTGAAAGGCAGCACTCATACGTGGCACTGATAGGTGGCACTGACTGGCACTGCTAGGTGGCACTGACTGGCACTGCTAGGCGGCACTGATAGGCGGCACTGATTTGCAGCACTGATAGGTGGCACTGAAAGGCAGCTCAAATGGGCACTGATATGTAGCATTGATGTGCACTAGTAGGCACTGATATGTGGCATTGATGCGGCACTGATGGGCACTGGCAGGTGGCATTGATGAGCACTGACAGAGGGCATTGATGGGCACAGGTGACAGGTGGCACTGCTGAGGCTACACTGATCATCAGTGCCCTGATGATCAGTGTACATGACCCCTCCGAGGAATGCCGATTACCGACTCTCCTCTCCTCTCCTCTCGAGCTGTCAGCGTGACAGCTCGTGAAGAGAGGAATGCCGATAACCGGCATGTCCCTATTTACATGCGATAAGCTGTGATTGGACACAGCTGATCACATGACCGAGCCGACATCTTCAGCTCTTTCTGTTGATCGGTGATCTGCACCACCGATCCCCGCACTGCACGCTCCCGGTACCGCACATGCGCAGGTAGCAGGTAGAGTGAGAGGACGTCTTATGACGTCCTCCCAGAACCGCCTTGCGCCCATTATTACCTTATATGGTGGGCGGGAGGCGGTTAAATACTACTGCGCTGTGGTAGTTTATTGAGTCCAACGATCAAGGTACCAACGATCTGCTAATCACTGGTGCAATGATTTTTAGAGGCTACAGAAAAAAATAAATAAAGGCACATTTTTTTTTACCTGCAAAGTGCATTTATTATTTTTTGTTAAAAGGCAAACTTATCCTTTACAATGCAAATAAATATAAAAAATTCTCAAAAGACCTTGGGATCACAAGAAAGTCCCATTTGTCCCAAAAAAACATTTGTATCAATTCTGTATCAAACGTAATTACAAAATTATAGACTCAAAAAATACCGTAAAGCTTCCTAGTGCCACATCCTAAAAAATGTGTGAAAAAGGTTGCCGGCCAAAATAAGTACGACCAAATTAGCAGCTTTTTTAGGCACAGTAAGAGACCAGACTGTCATATACAAATACAGTGGTTTATTGACATAAAATAGACAAAGCAATGTATAAGACAGTACATGCATAACCCCGCAAAAACAAGGGGGAATTAAAAATAAGTACGTAATTAATCCCTTGCATGTGACATATCACCTAGAACACTGGTTCCAAAAGTAGAGTAAAAGATCAGAGAACAGTCAACAAGTTTTGCCTGTACATTTGGCTTCCTCAGGACCGTAACGTCTGTATAAGGGAAAGCAGTACTATTAAATCTATATATAGTAGTACTGCTTTCCCTTATACAGAAGCTACGGTCCTGTGGAAAAACAGACAGTATATTCACAATCAAATATACAAAAAAAAGTACATGTAATAGGCAAAAAATACTATTTATTGGGCTTACATAGGAGCAAGACAGCTAGCAGTAAACAGTCTGGGAGTGGACATAAGAGACCAGAGTGCGGAATATAAGTGAGACCAGGAGACCAAATAACACATAAATGAATCCTATCAAGAGAAACACACAACACACCACCAGCAGGTAGTATAGTTATAGAAGTCTAAGTATACTGATATACAGATGCCTAAACCAAATATATGAGCTCATACTCACAATGATCGTCAACTGTGCCCAAACAAACTGTAGCACGAACAAAAAAGAGACATAAGAGCTGGGGGTAATATGGAATAAGGCTCTTAAAGGCATAGATAAGCCTAAAAAGAACAATAAAAGGTCGATGGGCTAAACCAGACTGAAGCCATGTATTATATATAAAAAAGGACTGCACACTTACTAGTAAGGTAGAGTGACACTAAAAGGCTGGTCTAAGAAAAAAAAACACACATAATATGCTCCAGTGTGTAACCTTGCAGGTCAAAAAGGCTGAAGTTATGATTGAACAGAAACCCGGCGTTTATAATGGTGCACATAGAGGATATCAGCTACAATGCCACAAAGTAAACTATTTTATGTCAATAAAACACTGTATTTGTACATGATAGAATATGATAGTCTGGTCTCTTACTGTGACTAAAAAACCACTAGTTTGGCCATACTTATTTTATCCGGCAATCTTTTTCATAAATTTTTTTATAATGTGGAACTGTGAAACTTTACGGTATATCTTGCTCTATTGGGATGGTTATCACCTGTACGGTTTGTTTGCTTCCTGACATTCTCCAGAGCCCTTAACCGAGGGGCAAGGAGGATGCTGAGACCCTTTGTTTACGTATTTCTTTTCATTTTTGCTTAACCACTTGCCTTCTAGAGGATTTACCATTAATGACCAGGCCTCTTTTTGCTACTCGGCGCTGCACTAATTCAACTGATAATTGCGCGGTCATGCAATGCTGTACCCAAACGAAATTTACGTCCTTTTTTTTTCACACAAATAGAGCTTTCATTTGGTGGTATTTGATCACCTGGGCACTTTTTTATTTTTTGCGCTATAAACAAAAAAAAGACCGGAAATGTTGAACGATATTTTTTACTTTCAGCTATAAAAATATATACCGTAGTAAACTCAAAGTCAGTTATAAATTTAGGTCAAAATGTATTCTGCTACATGTTTTTGGTAAGAAAAAAAAAAAATCCCAATAAGTGTACATTGATCACTTTGTGTGAATAATATATGGGTTATAGGGTCTAAAAATTATTGTATAGATACTGCAATTTATGCCATTTTTTCACTATACAGCACTGCACTAGTTTAACTGACAATTGCGCGGTCGTGCAATACAGTACATACATTAAATTTATGTCTTTTTTCACACAAATAGAGCTTTCCTTTGGTGATGTTTGATCACCTGTGCGCATTTTATATTTGGCGCTATAAACAAAAAATTTTGACAAAAAAAAGCTATTTCCTCATTTCTGTCATAAGAAATATCCAAAAAAACTAAAATTTCATCATAAATTTAGGACAAAATGTATTCTGCTACATGTTTTCGGTTAAAAAAATCCCAATAAGTATATATTTATTGCTTTGTGTGAAAGTTATAGCATCTACAAACTATGGTATAGATAATAAAATTTACACAGCTTTTACTTTCTGACTGCTCATCACATTTCTTTAGGTGCTAAAATACCAGGATAGTACAAACAACCCCAAATGACCCCTTTTTGGGAAAGTAGACACCCTTAGCTATCTGCTGAGAGTCATATTGAGTCCATGGAAGATTTATTTTTTTTTCAACAGGTTTCTGGAAAATGACAATTTTTGTTTTTTGTTTTGTTTTTTTTTCCCACAAAGTTGGCATTTAAATTATATATTTCTCACGCCATGGGTATATGTGGAATTACACCCCAAAATACATTCTGCTCCTTCTACCGAGTATGGGGGTACCACATGTGTGAGACTTTTTGGGAGCCTAGCCACATACAGGAGCCTGAAATCCAATGAACACTTTGAAAGCTTGAAGATGCGTAACTTCCTCATTTCATTTCCTCACTATCCATCACAGAAGGCCCTGAAATGCCAGGATAGCACCAAACCATCCAAGTAGACACCCCAAGGAATTTAAAAAGAGGCATGGTGAGTATTTTGCAGATCTAATTTTTTCCTCACAAGGTTTGGAGTTTGGATTCTGGGGTCCCGTACTTGGCTAGACTGCCAAAACGTCTCTCACATGTGGTACCCCCATGCTGCTCGGGAGAAGTAGAGGAATGTATGTTGGGGAGCAATTCCACATATATCCCATGGCATGGGTGAGCAATAAATCATTTAAGTGACAATTTTGTGTGTAAAAAAAATATATTTTTTTTTTTGTCATTTTCCAAAAACTTGTGGTAAAAAAATTAATTCTTCTATTGCCTCACAGCAAATAGTTTGGGGTGTCTACTTTCCAAAAAGGGGTCGTTTTGTGGGGTGGAGGCATTTTATGCTCACCATTAGAAGTTTATGCCACACATCATTCACTCTTCTAACCACCTGAAGACCAAGCCTTTTTTGACACTTTTTGTTCACATGAATAAAATCAGTATTTTTTTACTAGGAAATTAATTTAAACCCCAAACATTATATATTTTTTTAAAACAAACACCCTAGTGAATAAAATGGTGGGTGCTGCAAACTTTTATGTCACATAATACTCGCGCAGCGATTTTTCAAATGCAATTTAAAAAAAAAAAATACACTTTTTTTACTTTTAATGCAAACAAACAATATATTTGCCAATTATTTGGTAAAATATAAAAGATGGTATGTCAATTAAATAGATACCAAACATGACATGCTTTAAAAAACTGCACATGCCCCCTGCAATGGCGACAAACTGCATGCGTTTTTAATATCCATAGGCCACATTTTAAAAGCCTTTACATACTACCATTTTAGATTTACAGAGGAGGTCTAGTGTTAGAATTACTGCCCTTGATCTGATGTCCGTGGCGATACCTCACGTGCATGGTGCAACCGCTGTTTCCATACTGGCACAGGGTCAACATTCACGAACACAAATGCGCGGGGGGGGGGGGGGGGCGAAGGTACTTTTTTTTTTTTTTGTAAGTTATTTTGATTTTTTTAATTATTTATATACTGTTCCCTTTATTTTATTTTTTTTTTTTATCACTTTTAATGCTATCACAGGAAATGCAAATATCCCCTATAACTTCAATGGGCATTGTCATATATTCTTTTTTTGAGAAATCTGGGTGCTATCAGACTCTAGATATCTCCTCTGCCCTTACATTATCTAAATAAACCAAGATCAGTGTGATCAGATGCTTTCCCAATATACAAATGGCAGTATTTATATCCTGCGAAACTGAAGCGATGAAATGCTCGTAGCTTCTGATTTCTTAAGTTATAGAGATGATTGGCACCATTCTGGTCTCCAATCAGCTCTATGGTCAGCTGGCAGAAACACCGGCTGCATTCTCAGGTTCCCCTGATGGCACGGGACTGCTCGAGAAGGCCGTGGAAGGCAGTGGGGGAGGGGAGCATCGTCTCCCGCTGCTTGTAAAGGCAATTCCGCAGCCAATTAGCCACTAGGATTGCTTTTACATGAAAGCTGGTCGCCTGCTGAAAAAAACGATACCAAGATGATGCCTGCAGCTGTACGCATCATCCTGGTATAACCAAAGTCCAGTGATGTACCAGTACCTCGGTTTACGAATTTAATTTGTTCTGCAGGACATTTCGTATAGCGAAAAATTTGTAAACCGAAACACTGTTTCCCATAGGAATGCATTGAAAACCAATTAATCCGTTCCGAAGGTCAGAAAAACAGTAAACGCTACTAAAATACCACGA